TGAGTAATGAACAAGTACAAATTTGAACTTTACAGACCATTATTTCCTTACTCTGTCCTCTTGAAACCATGTACACACACATATCAGAAGAGGACAATGCATAAAAATTATATAATTATATAGATGATAAGTTTTTACGCTATAAAGCAAGAATTCAGGTGAACAGAACCACAGGCCAATACGTTGTAAATCATAGTACAGTTCGCTTTGAGTGAATTTGAATGATCAATGCCATATTAATTTAGTGCACTCATTTGTTGATGATAAAATTATGTTTTTTGCATTGACACAAAAACAACAACGGTAAAAGAGTGCTGCGAATACAAGTTATAAGATGAATAAATTTTCGATGTATTCGCGTTCAAATTAAGATAATAGGCAATAAGCAATGAACGTGGGAGAGGAAGGGAAAGTGGAAGGCATAGAGATGAATTTCTCATACATTGGCACGCGTGAAACAGGCAGAGACAATGATAGACAGAGACAAGAGGGGAAGGAAAAAGAGAATACACAATAATATTCGTAACAGAAAATACTACTTCAACTTTTGCAATTACTAACACTACTGCTCTGAGCTTTGTGCCGGTTCATGTGGCTTAAGAAGACCCTGGATTATTTCCGCATAATGCGGACCAAAGACGTGACGGTTGTGAGCTACTAGGGGCATCAATCGAGATGCTATCAAGGCCAAATCGTAGACTCTTGACAGATCATCTGAGGACTGCTCGGAGTTGGAACTACATGAAGAGGAACTGTCCTTGTTCATATATCGTGTCATTGGAGGTCGTTCGAGTGCACAGACACTTGGATCCATGGAAACAGACGTTTGACCCATTGATGAAGGTGGTAATGCACTTTCTGAGAGACCTCCGAAACCTGTTGGTAATTGAATTGGATTAGGTGGACGAGCAGACAAGGTGGAACGCAAGAAATCCATGGCCCGAGAAACTAAATTGTGATAAAATTCACATTACTTATTATTTTTAGTAGCAGTAACAAATTTGTTGACGACTGGAAGCTTACACATGAGTTTATAGACTGGATGTTCCTTGGTGAGAACCGAGTCAATTTGTCCAGCGATCAGTTCTTTGAATGCTTCCGATAAGCCGTTAAGTCCATCTTCATTAGATCCTGCTCCGTTGGTCGATTTCTGCCAGTTCTCGATCACGAAAAGCATTCGGTGTTTGAGGACTTCAGATAGTTGTGGAAGTTTGCTAAAAATTAAAGCAAACCTTGATGGCATCTGCAAAAGAACCAGAGTCTGCAAGGTTGCCTTAATTACCTAACAGGTACGGCATCAATGATTCCTCGGGTGTCATTGGATACAGAGGCTTTGAGTAGAGATATGGGAGACGGCTGTGTTGTCGTATTGTTGACACCGAGTGTCTTAAGGGATAAAGTAGCTTTGGAAGTGGCGTTTGCGACTGTGTTACAAACTACCAAAATTACGGAGGCGAGAGTAACTGTTCGTCCCAGACAGTCTGAAAGCTCATAAATTCGTTTCGCGTCAACAGCCACTGTCTGGGAAAATTTACAAGAACCCAAATCAGAGCCAAATACACATAAATAAAGGTTAGATAAGTAATATTTGAAAGATAGTGCAAGATAAAGCTAATCTACGTAGCGTTAAAGCCTAAAATTCAAGCAATACAATTCTAGATCCCAGAGGCTTAAAGGAACGAGTATTCGCTTCGTTGTATACTACTAATAGATTAATAAGTAGGCATTTACTTCAGGAAGGTCATGATTGTCTGGCCAGGTGAGAAGAGCTAGATAAGCCTCTCGTAGAATGTTATTTGGAGTTGTTTCACTTTCGCCCGACGTATTAAGCAGCTTTTTATAAGCATCACGAATCCACAATCTGGTAATAGCCAATCCATCAATTCCAGCATCTGGAAAAGAAAAAGTAACAATGGTTAAGGACCTGGACGGCGATTCTCGACCTCTTCATGACTGCTAGATTTTCTTTGGAGTATATCCAGGAAAAAGCATGACAAAACCTAGGGGTTTGTGACGATTGGCAGGCTTGAGCATCAATTCTGCTTAAGAAACTGCGAGCAAAAGTTAACTCCGCTTTTAAAAGGCAATTCACAAAGCAGTATTCTAATAAAGACGCAAAAAATATGCAAATGGATAAGCAAAAAGTACAAAATCGAGCTATTTAATTCCTCAAATTTTAAGAACCTCTTTGCATAGTAGTAGATAGAGGGAAGAAATATTGAAGTTACTGCGATTGAGAAATCTGCACTTAGAATCCATTAATTAACCACTATTGAGCACTGACTTTTCCCTTTTACCAACAGATAGTTGCAGACGAGACTCCAGAGTGTACATCATAGACCACATCAGTGCACTTCCAAATTACCAATTGACTAGTTTGCTGACAGTTCAAAGCCTGACCCTAAGTTAGCACAGATTATTGAGGTTGGTTAATTTTTAAACCCATTGACCATCTCACTAGTGTAACGCCCAAAAATAGGAAGCCCTTGAGTGTCATGTAAAATCATTTTGGGTTCTTAATCAGTTGGAAGACAAAAAAAATGAACTAGAGTGACGATACCTACCATCACGGGTGAAAAATTGGTCAATAATCACTGATCGTCGTGTAGACAGGGGGTTGCTGGAATTCAGGAAACAAATAAAGAAAATGGAATTTTGGGACGTGAACTACTCATTTAGTGCATATTGCAAAGCATTCATCAGAGGCCAAATGAGAAGTAAAGGTCCTCGATACATTGAAGACCTCTTGTCTCAATAAACTCTAATTATCATGATCCGGGTTATCCCTTCTTTTCCAACTCCAAACGCCTCCTTTTCTTAAGCCACTCTTTCCTCCTTCATTTCAATACGTTAATTTAGCAAAGATTTGTTTAAATCGATCTGAAAAAGAAACCATGAAATCCTGCCGGGCTCTAAGAAAATAGCCAACTTAATTAGAGCCGAACTCAGTCAAAGTAGTATTGTAACTTCACTCTAGTTTATTATCATCTTAGATCACCACCTTGACGGATCTGACGAAAATATAGAAATCGATTTTTGTGTTTAAATGGTTAGTGAAATGGTAAACTAAAGCAAAATTGAAGACTTACGATTGGACATTTACATTAACAAGTAAATATGAAAAACAGACTTAAAAAGAGTATGAAAAAACACCGACGTACTCCTTTGAACCTCCAAAAGACTATCGAACTTTTCCCGTTCATATTGGCCCGCCTGTTGACGAATATAAGGGCGCATCTCTTGAATTGTGAAGTTGGCCAAGTCCATATGCATTAATTCCAGCAAAGCAAAAGCTTGCCTAAAACGGAAACACAGGCAAAAGGCACATGCAAGTTGAACTGAAGCGAGTGATTAAAAAAACATCCTGAAAAGTGCACATTTGGCTAAGCACTTTTAAACGAAGTAAATAAGAATTGAAAAGCAAGTCGAGAAGTTGAAACACGATGTGCTCTTAAGTATTATTCTTAGGAAAGGTTTTGAAACTGGAAGGCTACCCCCCCCCTCTCAGACCTAGATAGAAAAGAGTTTCTAAATACTCATCCTGAGTGGAGAAATAGCACTACAGTGTGACTTTGGTGAGAATATCAAACCATATCCACTCCAACTCAGACTTAGTCGGCGCTGTTGGTCATTCCAATCACTAAGTGGAAATGGCAACTGTACCCCAAAATTTTGAACAGGAACCCACTAATTGTTGCTCCATTGGAACACGAAAAATTGAATTAATGAGGATAGTTACTATTGACATCTTTAGACAAAAACTGAGAAATGACATGAACACCTCTGTCAAACAAGCATCTAAAGGGTATTAAGAACTGTACAAAAACTACTTGGAATTCAAACAAATCACGTCTAGACAGGATAAGAATTTAAACATTTTCTCCGAAAAATTTTAATCTTGGGGCTACACACAAAGGCCTTAATGGGGTTACCGGAGGCAGAACAAATGTTCAGGACCTAAATGAGTTTTTCTTGGAATGAATATCCCTTACCAACTCAAAGCTACACATTCAGACCAGCAACCCTTTAATACTACTACGTGAGTAGCATAATAACTTACCAAAGTGAATACAATTAGCAGTATGAAGTGTGATTAAGTCAAGTTATTCTTGATAAGTTCTTTTAAGACTAGAATATGACAACTAAGGATAGTGACAGGAAGGAAATTTGAAGCCTTCAATGTCCCGAGTATAATTCCCACAAAATCGGTTTGTCGCTAACTCCGTGAAAATTGTTCCTCATAACTGAGAATACGATCCTTTCACTGACATATTACTCTCCATCAAGAAAGCTAATCGACACTCCATATCCAAGCCTCTATGCAATCTAGATGCTCTCCCAATGAGTAAGATATGAAAAAATGTAATTGCATTTATAGCAAGTACCTGGGGGAGGGGGGGGGGAGAGGGGTGGAATTTACAACCAAATTCAGAGGTAACATTACCCCCAACAAAGACAAAAACCAAGATGTAGTTCTTCTAAACTAAGTGAAAAAAAAACATTTCTGTCAACTAACCTAAAGAATTCAATTGGATCGGAGATGCTCCTCAGTCGAGCAACATCAAGGTCACGGACAGGTGCACACCATTGGGCCAACATGTTAACTAAAGGCTCAGCAAATGATTCCAGACGCAGACGGCCCGTGTTTCGCCACTCCTCCTCTGCCGACTCAATATCGAGATTTGCCGCGATCTGCGCTTTCAAAGTTGTCTGATGAGGTAGAGTCAAACCCTCAAGCATCTGAAAGCGAATGATTCATTACACCCGGACTCACAATGCAAGAAAACAAAAACAACCTCCCCTTCTAAAACAAGTTTAAATAAGTACACTTGACTCCTCAACCCCCCTCCCCCACCCCGCCCCCCCCCCTCAATCCCCGCTCGATTGTCTGCCTAATCAGGGGTGATTGACATAATATACAAAGTGACGCATTTCCTTTGGTGTCTTGGGGGTCTTCTATACGCAATTAAATGCACTACAGATTACTGTCTAATGGGAAAGAAGAACGCATTCATTATACCCTTTTTCTAAAATAAGACCCAAAACCCCACTAGAGCGATTAAAATGGAGTAGATACAAAATAAAAAAGGATGTAAATCAAGATAAAACGCAATGCCAGCAGAACTCTAGTGCGCAATTAAAAAAAAACGCAGCTATACCCGTTTATGTGCACCTCGATATGATACGCAAATAAATCGAAGTGATATGACTAATCACGGAATCAATTCTCAACCGATGAGGCCCTAAATGTGGTGGGCGAAATACCTCCTCTGATAAGGGGAGCGAATTACGCATTCAGGGCACTCGGACACGGTACAATTAACAAGATTCCTAATGAAAATGCGAACAATCCCAAGGCAGGAGTCTTGATGTCCTCACCCAATAATTACTTGTTTCTTCCTGTCTCCCCCCTCCCCTCCCCTCCCCTAGTTTCACGTCTTGCTGAGCTCGCTTGACTCTGATGATTTCCCATGATTAGAACTCGTAAAAGTACTTTTGAAGTGAAATGAGCAAACAATAATTGGAAATGTTGGCATTAGAAACGGCCAATTCTAATTCATTACCTCGAACTACCAAGAAGAACATCTAAGCAACATTCACAATACTAGGGATACATATGTGTGCGCCAATGCTATTATTTATAAGCAAATGTGAAAATTTTTTAGGATTTTACGAGCAATCCGAACTCAACTTATACCATAGACACAAAGATGAAAATCCAATGATAAGACATGCAAAATTTGACACAAAATACAGCCATCCATCAACCATTAGACGGAAAGCCATCTCGGCCCTACCTCATTTCTTTAGTCTGCAGCATTCTGCAGAACGCACATAATGACTCGCATGATTCGGAGAATTCAAAATTGTCGAATGGTGGTATTTTATTGGTTGTCAATTAGCAACAAGACTTGTCAATATGGAATTAATTCTCTACATTGGGTGGTCTATATTTAGAGAAGTTGTCGCAGACGTATAGCAATAGCAACTAGGCCAAACATTTCAGCACCGCTATTATTAAATCTTTAAACAGATTCTCTATCCCATAACCTGAAATGGAGGTATATCCAGTGCTATTATTGTGCTCTTTCATTTAAATGTCCATGACTGCTAGCCCAGTGTCCATGTGTGGGTCATGCTCATCCCAGGAGGACATCTCAAACGTATTTGAAGTAAAAAATGAGAAATAACCGAGTCAATAGCTCACCTGTCGAATTTCCTTCATGAGGCCAATAGCAGGCTCATAATTAGGAGGATCGGCCTCTAGGTGGGAGCGCTGAATATCCCAAAAGGCCTTGTGCATCGTATCCCTCAAAATTCGCTCAAACCTACAACGAAGAGAGTATAAAATCATTGAGCTTCATTGGCCAATAGGAGTCAAAGTGTGTGCCACCGCCATGACAGAGGCTATGAGTACCGGTGTAAGTGTAGTGCCAAATAAAGGGGAACCTCGCTCCAGAGAAGTTCCAGGATGCAACACTGCTCTAATTTCCATCGATAGGCGATGAAATTACGCAAAATGATATGCAACATATTAATGAGACTAGAGGATAAACATTAATTAATTTAGTGAAGAAGTAATTTTAGCTTTCAACTAGGAAAAACTAGTACGGGATGATTAAAATCTCATAGCAGTGCTACTATAGAAAAAAGGTAAGGTGGCAAAATAGGTAGACTTATACAGCGCGATAGACTGACCTCCACGTGGTGTATTCTGGGCAACGCATACTCATACGGCCAAAAAGTCTATTAACTGGCAGTTGACTTCTCACTTCAAACTACCATGACCACACTGTATGTCATATTTAACCATTTCACAGCACTCACCTAACCTTTTTCTCAACCTTTATGTCTGTCTGTCGCTTTACATCTGTGAATCACTCTTCTGTTCTCCCTCTCCACTTTTTGTGACTACCTATTCCTCCCCTTGATACGTCTTCCGAAGAGGGAGAGGTCGTGTGCTGCTTGTATGCAACCCATTTCTAAACCGACTAATCCATAGAGTAAATAACGCAAGATCCAGTGAGG